ACAGAAGCCATTGCCACAATTGCCCTGTGGTAATTCCCCAGGGACATTATTCAGCCATGTGTAAGTCAAGGGTCCAGGGATTTTGCTCTGTTACTCTTTCACTGGGATGCTGGTTTGTGTGACTTCACAGACCTAAATCTTGATTTTTATGAAGGAGGTATTTTGTGCACATACCAATTTTTGATGTCCGTACTGACCACTGTTAACATGTTCTACATAACAATACAAAAACATAACATATGATGATGTATAGTTTATTCCTTAGGCTGGATTACTACCTCACCCTAATGAAGCTGAACCAGAGTGTTTGTAAAGTATGTGACAAAGTAAATGTCAAAATTTCTGCATTAAATTGCTCTGCTTTGGCATGTAGCTCATATGTTTATCTGCAGAGGCTTTACTATGAAAAGCTTTTAAACAGTTGCTTTTTATCTGTTCCTATCTAAGATAGCATTTAAAGAGGAGCTGATTTTTTTAATAAGAGGGTAGGTTCTACTCTGTCAAAAGGAGCTTTGCTTTCAGAGGGAATTTCACCTATATCACATCATAAATGCAAAAATTGATCAGAATTCTTTGTACTGCTACATGATGTTTCCACTTTTTTAAAAAAAAAAATCTTTTTAAGGCAGTGTTATATCAAAACTCCTCTGAGGAATTACCTTAGATATTTTAATTCAGTTGCAGTATTGTGCAAGTGTTATGTTTGGACTTTTACTGTATTTCTTAAGCTGATAAACTTGTGGTAATCAGATTGAAGAGTGCTTGCAACATAAAATCTTATTCTGTATCAGCAAAACAGAAGCATTTATACAAATCTGAATTATTTGAGCTAGTTTTACGGATATTACTGCAAGTTATTTGGGACTTGGAAAAATAAAGCTTTCCATATAGCAGTACTGGGAAAGGCCTCTATTCTCTAGCTTTACTGTTGCATCAGTCTAATCACAACCATTAAAAAATTTAGGTTTTTATTCTTCACATCTAAATATACATGCTTATCAGGGTTTTTTTCTATTGTTTTTTTTTCCCCACACACAGGGAGTTCTGAGTGCTACCCCACTTGTTTTTATCATCCCAACAGCGTGTTATCTCAGGCTGTCCAAAGAGCGATGGAACCACTCAGATAACCTCATATCCTGCCTGATTCTTGCTGTCGGTGTGCTAGTGATGACAGTTGGGTTTGTTTTGACCGTACTGCATCCCCAGGAATGTAGCCATGGAAAAGAAATGTTCTACTGCTTTCCTAGTAATGTTTCTTTTCACAACAGTACACTTCCACCATAGGTAGCACACCAATCTCCAGACTGGATGAGGTATACCTTGCAGTGAGCCATACATCTCAGTTTAAAGGAGAGTGGAACAGAGCTTTTATGTTTTGATATGCACTAAGAATTTTGAACTATAACTATATTTACATACTTGATTTTTATGCTGCCATCCTTTTCCAGGTAAGACTTGAGTTTTAGCTGTTGAAACACAAATTCTCAGAGGTGCCTTTCAAGAGATGCTACTTGAATAACTTGCAAGCCTATCAAAAAGGTTGCATTTTTTAACTTCGTCTGCAATGCTGTTTAAAAGCTACAAATGAAATGTTTCAGAGTGTTAAACATTTCCCATATTTAATTGATTTCATTTAGTTTTTATTGATTTTATAATATTTTCATGTATATTTATTAGCACACTATAGTATGGTGGGTTTTGTTTTGTTTTGTTTTTTTTAAGTCCTAAACTATGTCTGGATATCTGTGTATTAAAATTCTGCTGTTAAATTGAAAGACCCCTATTAATTGCATCTTTGATTTTGCAATAACTGTCCTTTAGTGCTGAAAGCTTCCCAAGAGCAATTTTGTATTCTGACTGAACTGTAACTGATACAATTCAACTGTAACTGTTACAATTTGTGGTCTTTTAATTAAAAGATATTGCATGAATAAATCCACAGAGGTGAATTAAAAAATATTCAACTAAACAGTCTTTGTACAAACTTCAAGGTTGATAGAGAAGAAAACTACATGTTTGACAAACGCAGTTTGATTCTCATATTTATAACTCCATTTATTAGTTCAGAAACTGAATTGAAACGTTGTAGGTCAGACACATGCAAGTGGAGCGAATGCTGTAAGACAACATTCTAAACTTGATTATCATTCTAGTCCTCTGATTCTTTTCAGTATATGACTTGGTTTTGTCTTGGTTTGTCAAATTTTGGTGTGATTCGTTGTTTTCCAAAATTCATTTAACATCAAGGATTCAGGTATATATATACATATATATGTATGTATGTATATGTATGTATGTATATATGTGTGTGTATATATATATATACATATGTATTTATAAAAATGACCTCACATATGCCTATAGAATATGAGTAATTTGAAGTTGAGTACTATGTTGAGTAAAATGAGTATCATCAGTCATATCAATGCTGGGATTTTGAAAATGTTTTGGTATCAAATCAAGCTGTGTACTTTGAGTTAATTTTTGCATTATTGTGATCATTGTGGTTCCTCTTGCCAACTAGATGTATAGTGCTACTCCACTTTTATGCTGCTTAATGGGGATAGTTTTTGTCTTCAGTTCATGCTGCATGACAAAGCTATTTGATTCAAGACTTCTCCCTAAACAGATCTTTAAGCAAGGGTCGCTAGGTGGTGCTAATAGTCATAGGAATAACTCACTTTCTAAAAGTAATGCTTCCAAAGTAAATGCCTTAAGTATTAGTGTTTTTTTGGGGCACTGTTGGGGATTGGTTTTTGTTTGGGTTTTTTTAAGTTGTGAAGCAATTAGGGAGAACTGTGAGTATTATTCTGCTTTAATTTCTCTACATAGAGTCAGCTTTGAGGGTGATAATTTGTCTGTTGTCCAGGTACCTGATAATGTTGACAGAGAATATTTTTCACCAGTTTAGATCCAGCAATAGCTGATTTTTTCTTAGCTGTGGGTGAATTGTTACTGAATAGATTCACTTTCTTCTGTGCCAAATGGAATTAAACTTAAATAATATTTCCTTGTGACAGCTAATGAGATCCTTCTGATGAATCAGAAATCTCATTAGTTTAGTTGTTCCTTTTTTCTGATTTTTTTTTTTTATGTTGAAGTAGTTTACCTTATTGCAAGCATTAATTATAAGCTGTCTTTGCTTTAGAGTGTCAGTGGAATAGTTTTTAAGATGCATCATGGCATTGCCTATTCAAGTTACACATTCTGAGGTTGTGTCGATATTGAATTGTGTTTACATGTCCTTTATGAAGGATGAGTCTGTGCTTTTCTACTTTATAAATGCAGATAGAATGCAAAAGTATTGAATGCAATATAAATGCAATTAAAATTTGTTTCATTATGCTTTCTAATTTGTAATGTGTAAAGTCTGAGGTAGTAATGGTCCATTAAATGTTTTCATTGCTGATAAAGCTTTTTTTTGTCTTAGAAGTTTCTTTTGCCAAAACTAATTGCATTCCTGTAATCATGTGCTCAGTGGCTTCCATTCATGAATTTTCCAGGTGATGATAGGGCTCTCCCAGCCATAAGTGTATCGAAGCAAGGAAGTCAGATGTCATGGGCACCAGAATTTAAAGTTAACTGCTGTTTGGCTAATGGCTTTATAAAAGCTATGGTCTTTTCCTTTCTAGTATTACATATTGGAACTTACCTTTATTGAAATGGCAATTAACAGCAACCTGCTATATTCTTTCTTAGGATCTTGGAGGTCTGAATACAGAAAGAAGTGCCTTTTTATCTCATAATAAAAATTGTGATAGCCGTTGGTTTTTGGAAACACTTAAGATTCCCCAAAATAAAATTGTAGCTATCACCAATTCAGAAAGCATTTAAGGATATAAAAGCAAAGCTGTCATAAATATGACAGTAAGTCTTGATGCAGTAGAAAAGAAAGATACATAAACTTGAAAGGAAAGAAACTATAACCACACTGAAGAACTGCTAGTGAATATACTGAAATTAAACTTCAAACAGAATTGTCTTTCTGTGGCTAAAAAAAAAAATAAGGCAAAAGTAGCAATTTACAATCTGGTAGTTTTAACAGAGCTCAGTGAAAGTGAATGAAAACTAGTTTCTACCTGTGTTATACTCTTGGACAGACTTGCAGTGAAGACTCTGCTTTAGGTTTGTAGTTATAAAGCAGGTTTGGTTGGAAAGCTGGAGGTATGTAGCCTTGCTTAACTATTGAACAAATCACAACCTCTGGCTCTTTATATTTCAGTATGATAAAGCTTTCTTTTTTGTCTCAGTAACTTTTCAGATTTTTTTCTTGTTTTGGCTTGTCAACACTGCAGACTGGGTTTTGCTCTAACTTTCTGTAATCCATTGGGAACCTCTCACTGGCCTCAGAATGTGCAGGATCTCACCTCATAGCACTTCAAGCAGAGGTGTGCTATGCACAAAAGTGGAACGAGTGCTGGGAGCAGCACTATCCCCAACTCCAAACGCTCTGTGGCGACAGAACTTCGTGAAGTCCATGCAGAGGGAGAACAGCAATATTCCATATGCACTTGCTGGCAGGATTTTCACATCAAAAGCTGGTATTGTGACTCACTCACTGTTTCTCCAGGTTCCTCTCTCCAGCTGAGAAGGCATTTCAGGACACCAGATGTACAATTGCCATTCTCACTGGAGCTAAGCAGACAGTTTTTGACTTTCTAGAGCAGTGTTCCTCATATCAATTACAGACTTCTGCACATTCACAAAATACTTTGTCAGATGACCAAACTCCATGTACTACTTTAGACTCTGCAGAGAATTTTTGTTCCTCCTCAAGTTTCTCTGTGTAGTGGGGAGCAAAATGGCTCAGGTTTACTAAAATGGATATAATGATTTATTTTTTTCAGTCACTAAATCTTTATATCTCATATTGCACATGTTATCTGGATCTGATAGGGGAAGGATATTTATCTGTTTACTAGATACACTATTTAGTATTTGTGACTCACTGGAAAACAAAACTTAAATGTAGTGTGAGGACTTATTTGGATTCTGATGTGAACACTGAAGAGAAGTTAGGGAGAAAGACATAAAAGTGGCAGACTAAACTAATGTACTGTGAGTGCAAACATGAGATTGTATACCTTCCCATAGCAGGAAATCAAAACCCAAACATAATGCACAGAATCTAAAAACTACAAGATTTGAATTCAGGCCAGTGAAGGAAATAAGTAGAAGCTTTCCAGTTTAGGTCATTGAGTGCTGTTGGCGAAGATGAGATTCAGGTACATGCTTGGTACACAACTCCAAACTCTTAATGGAGAGAAATTAGATTATTTGATTATTCGTCTTTCTGCTTATCTTTCTGTTCCTTCCTAGGTAGATGTTAATTCTGGGTTCTTCATAAGACAATACTGTATGGAAAAGCTGTAGTTGCTGTATAGAATTCCAAAATCACATGCAACACACATTCAAGAGAACTGGGAAGGTCTGAATTTCCACATGTGGTTTCTCAAAATATACGGTGGCCACTAAACACTGGAAATTCACAGTAAAATTCACGGATTTACTGTATTAATACAAATAAAGAAGCAATGAGCTGAAGACAAAGTTAGAAGCTAAGAGAAAATTACTATTTGACACTGTAGGAATAAATTACAGATGTCATTCTGTAAAATCTGCATTTAGGTGGGGTCATGCAAATTATCTTTCAAAGGGAGCTGTTGCTCAACTGTTTGTTGTTGTTATGTCAGCAACAAGCAGTACACATGGCACTCTTCGGTGGTGTCCTTTGTCTAGCTGGTGGCAGAAAAGCTGAGAGTGGTGATACTGCTGTCTTGTCAAGACTGAGACTGCACTGTGGTGTATTGTATACATCTCTCATGACCTGTTTCCAGAGGCAGGAGCTGTCTTATTTTTTCTCTGTATTCATATACACTGCTTAGTACAGTGACTTCTGATTGATGACAGGACCTCCTAGGTGCTCTAGTAATATAAGCAGTAATTATTAAACTTTGGCCATTTTTTGTTGTTTCACTATCATTGTATCATGTTCCAATCATGAACGAGTAACATAAATATATCCTTGGGTGACAGGAGCTCCCTTTGCTTTTATTTTTGGTTTGACTATTTTGGGAAGAATAAGGCTCAGAAGATGTCTCCATATTTGGTTCATTGCATTTTGTGGCTTTTCTGAAAAGAACCTGGGTGTCACATGCCTTATTTATATCATCAAAGTGGTTAGTAGTTACTGTAGTTTTTGCAGTGCTGCATGAAAACTCTCATGGGCTAGCAATGCTCTGTCTCCATTATACAGAATATGTTCAAATACAGAGCAGTTTTGG